GAGACAGGAAGACAGGAAGGAGCAAAGGCTCAGAGGCAGGGATGAGCATGACATGTTCAGGGAACACTTTATCCAGCCCTTCTCAGCTTTGGCTACAATTTGGAACCACCAGAGAGCTTTAAAAAATGCTGGCTGGATACAGTGCCTCATGACTGTAATCTCAGCACTTTGGGAAGCTGAGACAAGAGGACTGATTGAGGCCAGGTGTTCGAGACCATCCTAGGCAACATAGCAGGGCTCCGTCTCGACTAAAAAAAAGAATTGTTTTTAATTAGCTGGATGTGGTGGCTTGTACCTATGATCCCAGCTACTTGGGAGAATTGCTTGAGTCCAGGAGTCCGAGGCTGCACTGAGCTATGATCATGCCATTGTACTCCGCATAGGCAACAGAGCAAGACTTTCTCTAAATTAAAATCACCCATGCTGGGTTTCACCTCCCAGAGTTTCTTACTGATTTGTCTGAGTTGCAACCTAGACATTGGGATTTTTAAACTCATCAGGTGATTCTAATGCATAGCCAACATTAAGAACCACTAGCATAGATTAAGTTATTCAAACTGGGCAGTAGAGTTAAGAAGCTGTGAAATCATAAGATTCCCCAAAACTTCTGACTAGGCAATTAGATAAAATAAAAGTTTTTGTCCATCATAGGTCAGGTGAATTTGCCTGTATTAGAACTTGACTTCTTTATACATTTTTTCCTCCTCTCTGCTTCAGGATAGTCAATGAGGCTTCTACTGCACTGGCTGTGGATCTACGTAAACATCCAATGGTTACATATTCATGCCTGCTCCTTTCAAATCAGAGCCTCTGACCTTGATCACTGATATATTTTCATGCCTTTCAAATGTTTTATTTAGCAGTCATTCTTGTATTCATTCAGAAGACGTAACACTGTGAGAAGCAGGCTACATTGCCATACTTGCCATACTTAATATCATCATAGGAGCTAGGGCAAAAAAATCTTATCAAATGTAATGCAAATGGCCAGGTGTGGTGGCTCACACGTGTAACCCCAGCACTTTGGGAGGCCGAGGCTGATGGATCACCTGAGGTCAGGAGTTCAAGACCAGCCTGGCCAACAGGGTGAAAGCCCGTGTCTACTAAAAATAGAAAAATTAGCCAGGTGTGGTGGCCTACGCTTGTAATCCCAGCTACTTGGGGGGCTGAGGCAGGAGAATGGCTTTAGTCGGTAGAGGAAGGTTGCAGTGAGCCAAGATTGTGCCACTGTACTCTAGCCTGGGCGACAGAGTGAGACTCCATCTCAAAAAAAGAATGCTATTCTTGTGGATTAATGCTTTTGAACAAGCAGTACACACACAAAAAAGCTACATTTATTGAATCTTATTAAAATATTAATATATTAAGCCTCACCTTTCTGAAATCTAAGCATTTCAGAAAGGTGAGGCTTAATATATTTTCACTTGTACAACACAATACAAACTTGCTACTACATGCACCCCTACACAGATGGCTGCCAAGATAACAAGATTAACTCTTGGAGTCATATGTCACTATTCATTTATAACTTATTCCTCACTTTGTTCTCTACTAGCATTTGCAAAGGAATATCATGGTATAATAAAAAACGACCAGAGAAAACGTTCATTCCTTAATTCAATTTTGAATATGAATGATGTGAAACAAGTCATGATTTGATCTGAGAAGCAGGGCAGTCAGGCTCCCTGATTTCTGGATGTGTGTTCACTGCCTGCCAACCACTGTGCTGATGGCTTTGGTGGTTCGACTTGTGATTCAGATGAGTCTGGGTCCAACCAGCTCTGCCACACACATTGTGATATTATCTGGGCAAGTCATCAACCAATCTAGGTTTCAAATGTCATGATTTGTAAATGGGGATGTTAACCCTGCCTCATAGGGTTGTATGATATAATGGGCTTTATGACTAATGTTCCTGGCATGAAAACCATCTCAATCTCCACCACACCCTGAAAGATATATAATATTAGTATGTATTATAAGACTTTTTTTTTAATAAGAGAAAACTGAGGCCTACAAGAATTAAAAAACTTACCCTAGGTTATTCAGATGCTATGTGCAAACGCAGACCCAAACTCCTTGTTCCAAATACTTCCCCCTGGTTTGAGAACAGTATGTGTATTCCCCAAAGTGGGGTACATTGTATTTCCAGTCTTATTTGAAGACTCAGTATTAGCCTTGAAATATAAACAGTATCAGATGCACCCAAAAGCCAAAGGTGATGAGGAAGAAATTAGAAGAGCTAGAGAATCACAATGATGAAATTAGAAAGCATCAGGTACATGGCCTCTTTCAAATCAATGGGAAGTCTCACGGATAACTGAGGATTTCTCTCCCAGCACTTTAGAAGAAGCTGAAACCTACCTCCCAGGCATCCAAGAACGTTGCTTTTCCACCTATCATTTTACCTTCATCATCTTTGGGAAAAAGGTCATCCCCAGACTGTAAATACAGAATACAAAGTTTACTGGAATCTGCATCAGGACACTTGGTTCTATTAAACAACATTTCAGGATCCTGACTCTTGCCAAATACCACAACTGCATACCACTTTTTCAAGCTCTGGAGTACATACTACAAGAATGTGACTTTAAATAAAATCTCCATATCTACTGTAGCATGTTAATCCTTATATTTTAGAAACTACTGGATTGACTTTATGATCTGCCATTAGTACATTCCAGAAGCCACCATTATCACCATGGACATTAACCTCATACACCTAGATCCCATATACACCCCACGGCAAACTTTCATTTCAATATTACTTGATTTCCAGGGAGTGGATCTCCAGGGAGTGATTTTCTTGGGGAAGATGGTGACCAACTTCTATCCTTGCAGCCTCTAGAAGAGGTGTTGAGTTAGGGATGGCAAGCCATCATCACCCCAGCTGGTTAGGAGGGGAGAGAGCTGGAAATCTGTCTCTCCCAACCCTCAGGAGCAGTAAGAGCAGAGCCCCTGGCAATGGGTGCCACGTTGAGTGCTGGCTACCTTCCAGCATCACCATACTTGGGCTTTTCTCCAAGATGCCACTCCTGGGGTGTGCTTTGCTTAATAAGATAATTAAGCCCTGGAATATGTTTATGCAAGAGTAACCCAAGAGATTTCCTGGGAGGGCAACCCTGGGGCATGGAATCAAGACAAAGGTGGCAGTTGCAACTTGTCTGGGCTGTCAGAAATCATGGCTTCTCTCAGACATAACTGCAAGAAAACTCAGGCATGTGGTCAGCTCAGCAGCACACATGGCCTCAGCCTCCCTTCCAGGCCAGTGTCTTTCTGATCCAAGGTCTCTTCTTGACCACCTGCCATTCCCAATTATGAAGCACAAAGCCTCCTGCTCCTGTCCACACCGCCCCCCAGCCCTGGTGCAGCTCCTATTTTCTGGCATCTGTTCAGAAACTAGAGGCTAAGAAAGGGAGTCACTCAAACCTTGAATCCTTGTGGCCAGTGAATAAGATAGACATCCAGATAGCTCAGTTTCAGGTCTTTGAGGGTCTTCTCACAGGCTTTCCTCACGAAGGGTCTCTCAAAGAAAGTGGGCCACAACTGCAAAGAGTGTGGCAATGAGCCATTAATACTGGGAAAACGAAAGGCCACATCATACTCATTGTGTCTGCTTTTTGATTTGCACCCTGATCTAACCTGACACAGGCCATTTATAACAAAACTGATTAAGAACCATGATGCAGTGTGGAAGATCACCAGGGCTTAACACATCAATTACATGTGTGTGTGTGTGTGTGTGTGTGTGTGTCTGTGTGTGTGTGTGTGTCTGTGTGTGTGTGTGTGTGTGAGAGAGAGAGAGAAAGAGAGACTGGCTCTGTCACCCAGGCTGGAGTGCAATGGTGCTATCTTGGGTCACTGCAACCTCTGACTCCTGGTTTTTGAGCGAATTTTCTGCCTCAGCCTCCTGAGTAGATGGGACTACAGGTGCCTGCCACCACACCTGTCTAATTTTTTTAATTTTTATTTTTAGTAGAGATGGGGTTTTACCGTGTTAGGATGATCTCAATCTCCTGACCTCGTGATGTGCCCACCTGGGCCTCCCAAAGTGCTGGGATTATAGGCGTGAGCCACTGTGCCTGGCCATGACATGTCTTAAGTGTTAAAAGCAATTTTCTTTTTTCAACTGTCCTAGTACTCTATATGTCTCTCAGATCCTTTAGTAAATGTGGTCACAGATTTGATATTTGTTTACCTGTGTCAGTCCCTTCCTCAGCTGTCGGCTCTCAGCACAGGACTTGTGTTTAGCTTTTAAATGTCAAGCATACTTAGGCCTTTGGGAGCAGATGGCCCTTTATCTGACCTATCTAATAGGTCCCTTAGCAAGCCTATCAGGCCCCAAGACATAACTTTACAAGGGCTTTATCCAGTCTTGGCTACTACACAGTGGGGTCTATTTGTCCCACCAGATGCATGCATTTCCCAAGTACCTAGAACCAGCGTTTTATCAGCAAGTCGTGTATAATAGTGATCCAGTGATTCTCAACCTCCTCAAACCCAACATCCCCTTCTTCTTTATAACATTGTATACCTCACCTTTTACTAGACTGAACAAAGAATACCATATGTGACAATAAAAAAAATGCCCCTACTGTTTTCCCAAATGCCCCCTGGCTGAGAACCTCAGGGGCACAGTGCTGCCAGGCAGGCTGCAGATCAAGGCCTGGCTGCACCCTTGGCCTCTGCCTCTGATGGGGAACAGGGAGATCCAGAACAGCACAGGGCTCCCTGGAGCCAAGCCCACTGTGGGAAAACCAACCCACAGGCAGGTGAGGCAGCAGCAACATGTTGAATCTCAATAACAGCATGGAGTGCGAATATCATTGTATCCATGGATGTTATCAAGGCAGAGATGAAAAGGGCTGGGGGAAAGAGTACATGTAGAAACGGCTGACAGCGTTCTTGCTGCTGACCCGGCCCAGATACTTCTGCCTGCCTTGAAGTGAAGCCCTCCCACCACATGCGCCACGTGTACCTTGCTGACAATGAAGAGGTCCTCCCGCTTCACAGCCTTCTCTTGGATCTTCTCTTGGATGGCCTCCCCCACCTCATGCTCATTCTGATACACATAGGCACAGTCAATGTGGCGATATCCTGCGTCAATGGCCGCCTTCACAGCTTCTTTCACTTTGCCGACAGGAGACTGAAAGGTAGAAGGAAAGCCCATCACACATGTATTTTTGTGTGTGTAAGAAATGGCGTCTTCCCATGTTGCCCAGGCTAGCCTCACACTCCCAGGTTCTAGCAATCCTCCCACCTCCCGAGTAGCTGGAATTACACCACACTCAGCAACTATCATATTCTCTTATCCCCAGACCGCCTTCAACAGGCTGCCCAGTTTTTCCCAACCAAGGCCTTACTGGGGTCTCATTTGCCAGGGGATATCTGGGAGGATACACACTTCAGAAAAGCTTTCGAAAGAAAAGAAGGAAAGTGAATTAATTGTATGATTATGGCCTTATGTCCTATCCTAGCTAAAGATCAGTTCCCTTCTCATGCAGGTTAGTCCTGAAATGTCCTCAGGTGTGTGGGAGTGCAGGTGGCTCCACTGCAGCTTTCTGAAGACCCAGGTGAAAGCTCGACTCTAAATAACCCAGAGGGATTTTCAGCAACATCCCCACACGGCGATAGGGTGCTGGATAACGGTCATTACAGCATCAGTCCAGATTCCAACACTTAGCTGGGTGAGTGGGCCTAAGCAGGTGATTCAATCTTTCTAAACCTTGTCTGCAAAATGGGAAAAAGAATAGCACCAGCCTCATGAGGCCTTTGTGGCAATGACATGCTGCAATGAATGCTGAGTTTTCAGCACATCACCAGACACGCAGTAAGTCTCAGCAGAGCCCGTCCGTTATACAATGATAGTTTCAGAAAAAAAGGAGAAATACAAAACCTTATAGGAATAGAGCTTCTTTTCCATTCCTATAAGAAGAAATAGGGAAGGAGGGAGAGGGAGACGAAGAGAGAGGAGAGAAAGAGGGGAAAGAAGAAAAGAAATAGTATTAGAATTACCGCATTTTGTTCTAACCCAGTCAAGCCAATGATGGGGGAAAAGCACTTAAAACTTGATCTCTTGACAAAATAGTTTTTTAAACCTCTTCTATTGTGAGATAACAAACATTGAAAAGTACACAAAACAGAGATGCATAGCTGTCCTACCACAGGGACAAGAAATGGGCTGCTGCCAGCCACCCAGAAGCACCCCTGTACCCCCAGCTGCTAAGCTACACCCTTTTGCACCTCCACTGCTAAGTTCATAATCCTTCAGTCTGTCATCCCCACGTGCTGAAGACGGCTCCCTTCCTAGTTCTCACATTTAATTCCAAAATTCTGAAACTGTCTGGAAAACTTACCCAGGGTGAGCCGATTCCCCAGCGATCTGGAAGTGATTATTTGTTCCGTTTATATAGATTGAAGCTCTGATTTTGGGCAAACCTTGCTATTCAAGCAAGAGACGCTGTGCATGAATCAAGCTGGAACTGATCTGTGCACGCGGATGGACCAAGAGAATGACCCAGTGCTGCAACAGAGGGTCCTACCCTCCAGCCCAGGACAAGAGAGGGGAAAAATCAGGGTGCACAGAAGGAAAGAGACTCAGCAGGGAGACTAGCCATGAGGGACAGGAGAGAAGAGGAACTCCAAAGTCTGCTTCTTCTAGTCACTAGTTAGGGTATTGCTATCATGGATGGAAATGGCAAAGAAGGCAGAGTGAGGTGGTGATGGAACAACTTCAAACTTGGCCTAAGAGAGGCTCAGGAATCTGCCTCACTGAGTCCTGGCTGTGCCTTACCTTGTTTTGCCAGCTGACATTAACACAGCCAGGTGGAGTTCACAACTCCCAGCCCAGGCTCTCTGCAGTCCCAGCATGTTGCAGATTCCACTGTGTCCAGGAACGACCTAGGGATCTTGTTAAAGTGCAGATGCCCATGAGGTAGCCTGGGGTGGAGCCCGAAACTGCATTTTTTTCTCTTTCCTTCTCTTCCGTTCTCTTCTCTCTCTTCTCTTCCGTTCTCTTCTCTCTCTTCTCTTTCTCACAAGCTCTAATTTTGTTGCCCAGACTGGAGTGCAGTCGTACAATCACCGCTCACTGCAGCCTTGACCTCTCAGGCTCGACTCTCAATCTCCACCTCAGCTTCCCAAGTGGCTGGGACTACAGGTGCATGCCACCATGCCCAGCTAATTTACTTATTCTTTGTCGAAATGGGGTCTTGCCATGTTGCCCAGGCTGTTCTCCAGCTCCTGGGCTCAAGCAATCCTCCTGTCTCCATCTCCCAAAGTGCTGGATTTACAAGCATGAGCCACCACGCCTGGCCAGCTCTGCATTTCTAACAAGCTCTCAAGTCTGACAGATGCTGCTAGTCCAATTCCCACACCATCTGCAGAGGGGTGCCAGGGACTTCCGGGTTTTCATCCTCTCCTCAACCACCCAGCCCACAACAAACTCACAGCCAAGACTCCGGGAAAATGTTAAGCCCAATTAAGTGTCCTAGAGCCAGAGAGAAACTTCCCTGGAAAACAGTTTTAAGGCCAACTGCTGCTTGAAATCTGATACTTACTAAAGAAACTCTCCTCACTGCTGTGAAAAGCCAGCTTTGGAGCTACGCAGCCTGAATCAGCTCTGAGAAAATAAAGCAACCTGAGTCCCGGCTCCAGGACTGAACCTCATCTCTCCAAACCCCTGCCGGATCCCCAGGCTTTCCTGGCTGAATGCAGGAAGAGAAAACAGCCTAATGCCCCTACAGAGAAGAGGGGTGTGCAAAGATTTGCATATTTACCTTCCAAGTGCCCAGGCCCACAATGGGCATCTTGGCTTTGGTACTGAGCTCCACAAAGGTGGCCATGGTTGGTGCAGAAATGATTCTGCGTCAGCAGGTAGAAGTCTCACGTCCTGCTTTTTTTGTTGTTTTTGAGACGGAGCCTCGCTCTGTCGCCCAGGCTGTAGCGCAGTGATGCGATCTGGGCTCACTGCAACCTCTGTCTCCCAGGTTCAAGAAATTCTCCCTCAGCCTCTCGAGAAGCTGGGATTACAGACACCCGCCACCACTCCTGGCGAATTGTATTTTTAGTAGATTCAGGGTTTCACCGTGTTAGCCAGGCTGGTCTCAAATTCCTGACCTCAGGTGACGGACCGCCTTGGCCTTCCAAAGTCCTGGGATTGCAGGCGTGAGCCCCGTCCTGCTTAAGAAGGCTGGTGCTGGCTGCAGTGGGAGGAGTTGGAGCCTGGCCACAGTAGCTTCCCCGCCCTATCCAAACAGGAAATAAATTCCAGGCTTTTGCGAGATCGAGGATCATTGTGAATGAATTATGAAATGTGGCAACCTTGTGAACAGTTTTACCTTAGATAATAGTATTATTATCGGAGTTTTTCCTTGTTCATCATGACTCAACAAATTCAACACAGCCAAAAGTGGAAAAGTCGGGAGGGAGAGAGAAAGAAAGGAAAGAAGAGTGGGGGGAGGGAGGGAAGGAATGAGGGAAAAGTAAGGAAGAGAGAAAAGAGAAAGAAAAATACAGAAAAAGAGGAGAGGAAGGAAGGAAGGAAGGAGGGAGGGAGGGATGGGAAAGAAAAGGAAAAAAAAAAAGAAAGAAGCCTGGCCAACATGGTGAAACCCTGTGTTTCCTAAAAATACAAAATTTAGCCTGGTGTAGTGGCACAAGTCTGTGATCCCAGCTACTTGGGAGGCTGAGTCAGGAGAATTGTTGAACCTGGGAGGCAGGGGTTGCGGTGAGCCAAGATTGTGCCACTATACTCCAGCCTAGGTGACAGAGTGAGACCCTGTCAAAAAAAAAAAGAAGGAAGGAAACAAGGAAGGAGGGAGGGAGGGAGGGAAAAAGGAAGGAAGGAAGGAAGGAAAGTAGGTAAAGCAAAGCAAAAAAGCAAAGAAGGAAGAAAAAACAAGAGCTTTCTTTCCCTGTGATGGTTTCCTCTGTGAAATGGAGTCTAGGGAGGAGAGGTGAGAAGCAGTGTTTCCATTTTAAAAGTTGCAGTTCCAATTTCAGTGCATAGAGGGTCAAATCCTGACCTTATTAGAATCAGCAATAATTAGTTGGTAGTCAGAAATCTAGGGAACATGACACAGGCCTGTGCCATGCTCTGACAGTCCATGACAGGCCTGTGTCATGTCACAGCATCAGTTTCAGCCTGCAGGTAGTAGGTTTTTCTGTCTTTTACGTGTTCTTGTTTATGAGTTGGCTTTGGTTGAATCTTGAAATGGACTTTAATCTCTAGGCTGTGGCTTAGGACAGCTCATAGAGGTCAATTGGCATGATATTTTGTACCTATGAGTGATACACTTCACTGATATTTGTTAAATCACTTCAACATTAGTAGTACATGCATGGGCCAGGCACTGTGGCTCCTGTCTGTAATCCCAGCACTTTGGGAGGCCGGGGCAGGCGGATCACTTGAGCTCAGGAGTTTGAGACCAGCCTGGCCAACATGGTGAAACCCTGTCTCTGCAAAAAATCCAAAAATTAGCCGTGTGTGGTGACACATACCTGTAGTCCCAACTGCTTGGGAGGCTAAGGCATGATAATCACTTGAACCTGGGAGGTGGAGATTGCAGTGAGCCAAGATCATGCCACTGCACTCCAGCCTGGGCGACAGAGTGAGACTCTGCCTCAAAAACAAATAAATACATACATGCATGGCTCATAATCTGATGGCCACAAAGTCTCATGGATCTGCACATGAGGGCACATTATTTTCCCAGTGTATACTGGATAACATGCAATGCCAATATTGTTCAAATAGCAAATCCTTTGTGACTGTCAACCTAAATAACAGAGAGAGGGTCCCTCAAAGAAAAATATTTCTCTGGGAATAGAGCACTGCAATGGGAATATGCGAGCCACCGTAAACTATGTGTATATTTGGGGAAATAAAGGAAGCCAACATTTTTTCAAGAAAAACAATGAAGATTATCTAATTGTTTTGAAGTAATTAGGCTTGGCTACAAAGACCTATCGTGAAAGTGATGTTAGTCTGAGATTGGACAGGCAGTTGTTCAGAAGTCCTTGCAGAGTATGTTTTGTGTTCAGTTGCAGTGGCCTTTGTTCAAAGTTGTGGTTTTTGCAGTCTTTTGTGGTAGTTTTGGTTTTCAGGTGTACAACCATTAGAACCCTCTTTTTTTTTTTTTTTTTTTTTTTTTTTTTTTTTTTTGAGTCTGAGTTTTGCTCTTGTTGCCCAGGCTGGAGTGCAATGGCATGATCTTGGCTCACCAGAACCTCCACTTCCCAGATTCAAGTGATTCTCCTGCCTCGCCCTCCCAAGTAGCTAGAATTACAGGCATGCACCACCACACTCACTAATTTTTGTATTTTTAGTAGAGATGGCGTTTCACCATCTTGGCCAGGCTGGTCTTGAACTCCTGACCTTGTGACCCACCCACTTTGGCCTCCCAAAGTGCTAGGATTACAGGCGTGAGCCACTGCACCTGGCCTAGAGCCTTCTTTTCAGAGTCTCACTCTGTTGCCAGGCTGGAGTGCAGTGGCACAATCTCGGCTCACTGCAACCTCTACCTCCCAGGTTCAAGAGATTCTCCTGCCTCAGTCTCTTGAGTAGCTGGGACTATAGGTGCACACCACCACACCCAGCTAATTTTTGTATTTTTAGTAGAGATGGGGTTTCACCATGTTGGCCAGGATGGTCTTGAACTCTTGACCTCGTGATATACCCACCTCAGCCTCCCAAAGTGCTTGGATTACAGGCATAAGCCACTGCACCAGGCCTGTCAGAGTATTTTGTTTGTATGTTTTTAACATTAGTGACTCCATTTTGATTCTGACCATTTTCACATGACACACAGAATAAAGAAATGTGTATTAGTCATAATAATATTCCTTCTAGAACCACCTAACTGTGAATTGGTGAGGAGGTCGATCTCTTTGAGATAATTGGGATTAAGAAGGTATGTCTTATTAGCTGTTTTTGTGTAACAAACCAGCTGGTTATAACAGCAACAATTTATTTGCTCATGATTCTGTGGGTTGGCAGTTTGGGCAGGAGTCAGCTAATGAGCCGGTCTCAGAACACACGTGGCTTCAGCTGGGCTTCCTCACATCTCTGGGCTTCATTTGGGTGGGCTGGGATGTCAGGGAAGGCGGGGACCCCTCTTCACATGTTTTTCGTTTTCCATGAGGCTTAGACTTGTTCATATGTAGCAGCATTGTAGGAGGTCTACCCTTGGAATGTGTACAATGTTACTTCTGCCACCTTCTATTGATCAAAGCAAGTCTCAAGGCCAGAACAGGAGCAAGGAGTAGGGAAATCAATTCTATCTCCTGAGGGGATTTGTTACAAAGAATTTTGGCTATTCTTAACCCCAGAAGGTTTTTAATAAGAGCTTTGATTAGCTACTTTCTAGCTTCATGAATTTACCAATCTATTCCTGGTTTTGTACATTTAAGAAACTCTCATTTTTTAAATCTGATGATTATATGTGCACAAGAAGTTTTACTTTGTTAAAAATGAATACAAACAAAAATTGAGAGAAAATTATTTTGTAGAAGAAAAATGAACAAGGAGTAGTGCCATTTTTCATTCCCACATCTATTTCTTTAAGAAATAGAGGCAGCAGCAACTAATGTATCTGAAATAGGGAGGAAAAGAACAATTCCAAAAATTGCAGGGAGTGAAGATAAATTTCTGGGCAGGAGAACAGTGTGAGCCAAGGGGTGGGAGAGACTAAGATACATTGAAAGAACTGGAGAAAGCCAGTGTGGGGACACTCAGAGAGTAGACTTACCGGGTGCCCAGCAGAGGTACAGCTAGAGTGGTATGCGGGAACCTGAGGGTCAGGAGCTGCAAAGGGGGATCACGGAGGTGGAGTTACCATGAAGCTAACAAAACTTGACCTTCAGTCACCCTCACATGCATGAGCACCATCTTAGGCTTTATACCTAATACTGAATTCTTAATTTTTTATTCTTTTTATTTAAAGGAAAACCCCTGGTCAGGCACAGTGGCTCATATCTGTAATCCCAGCACTTTGGGAGGCTGAGGTGGACAGATCATGAGGTCAGGAGATCAAGGCCATCCTGGCTAACACAATGAAACCCCGTCTCTACTAAAAATACAAAAAATTAGCCGGGCGTGGTGGCACGCACCTGTAGTCCCAGTTACCCGGGAGGTTGAGGCAGGGGAATCACTTGATCCCAGGAGGCAGAGGTTGCAGTGAGCTGAGACCACACCACTGCACTCCAACCTGGGTGACAGAGCAAGACTCTGTCTCAAATATGTATGTGTGTGTGTATATATATATATATATATATATATGAAGAAAAGCTCCAATCGTACAACTTCACGATCACAAAATCTGATCCACCCTGCATGTTAACTTTTTTTGTCTTTATTTGAGAGCACCAAAGTTTTGTTCTTTCATTTTTCAAAAATCTTTTTATTTTGAAATATTTTGAAAAATTGCAAAACTGCAGGTCCTCACCTTCTCTCCTTGTGCTCTATTTGTTTTAAAAACCACATCATAGCTGGGTGTGGTGGCCCACCTGTAATCCCAGCACTTTGGGAGGCTGAGGCAGGAGGACCACTTGAGGCCGGGAGCAACATAGTGAGACCCTACCTCTATGAAAAACACAATAAACAATTAGCCGGGCATGGTGGCACATGCCTGTAATCTCAGCTACTCAGGAGGCAGAGGCAGATGATTGCTTTAGCCCGGGAGCCTGGAAGACAGAGTAAAAAAACAACAAGGCTTCTTATGACTGCACGAGGCAGTAGTTCCACCGGGAACACACAGTAATCAAGCTAAAATTATATGACTGTTGGCTCCCCACATTCAAGCTGTGTGAACTCTCCAGCAGAACTCCATGACTGCTACTTACCAACTCTGGATTTGGGGACTAGAGTATTACCAGATGCTACTCTCTGCTGTACTCCTTCTGGAAAACAGTTACTTATTTGTTATTGGGCATTGAGATAACCCAAATAACTGAAGAAAATAAAAGCTGGAAATACCCATCATGCAATGGGTGATGTAAGAAAAGCACTCCAGCCAGGTGCAGTGGCTCTCGCCTGTAATCCCAGCACTTTGGGAGGCCAAGGTGAGTGGATCACGAGGTCAGGAGTTCAAGACTAGTCTGGTCAACACAGTGAAATCCTGTCTCCAATAAATAAACAAAAAATTAGCCAGGCGTGGTGGTGGGCGCCTGTAATCCCAGCTACTTGGGAGGCTGAGGTGGGAGAATTTCTTGAAC